TAAACACTTTCGGGTTTGCTGCGGCCGTAACCTGAAGACTCCGTAACCTGGAAGTTACGCAACACGAGGTACCAACTATGGATGCTTTAGCTAAGATTCCTGCCTTGCAGGGGGTTGGTCTAGAGGATCTTTGAGGTTCCTTTCAACTCTACGATTCTATGATTCTACGACTATGCACTGTGTGAAGAAGGACTTTCTTTTACCGATCCTGAGTCTTCCAGGATTCCCTGCCGGGTGCTCTTCCTCCAAGCAGGATATTGCCCACCCTGGGGAGACCTCTGTGCCTCCTCCCGTCCCAGTCCTGCCGAGTGACAGGCGGGGGGGGGGATGTCCCACCGGCAGCCCGACCCTGCTCCAGCCTGGCCCCCCTCCCACCCCAGAGGGCGAGGTGTCTCTCCCCCCCCCCAGCCAAACATACGCTGAAAATGTCCACGTAGCAGCGTATGAGGTCCTCCACCACGCGCCCCGCCTTGTAGTCCTTGCCGTCCGTCTGGAAGAGTGTCGGCCCAAAGACAATGGCCAGGTTGTGTGTGGTCATCTGGTTCATGTCCGAGAAGCACTGGACCCTGCAAGGGAGGCAAAGCAGCCGCTGGGAAACGGGGGGCCCTTTCCTGCTCTCCGTCCAGCGAGAGAGAAGAGCCTCAAAGGGGCTGTCCCTGTAGGGGGGTGACGCCTTAGGCTAGGGGGTGGGAATATCTATCGATTTATTGTGGGGGGGGGCGTAATTTATTTTATTTTATTATTTGGATTTATTTTTTATTCTATTATTCATTTATTTGAAGTATTTATTTATATTAAGATTTATTTACTTGGAGGATTTATTTAGTTCATTACTTCTTTGTTTGTTTGTTTGGAGGGTTTTTTTCTTTTATTATTTGTTTTTCCGGGGGGGGGTACTTACTTTATTATTTATGCAACTTACTTGACTTATTATTTAGTTATTTTTTCGGGCCATATGTTTGGTTGGTTTGTTGTTTGTTTGTTTGTTTGTGTGATTTGTTTAGTTTATTGAAGGGGTAATTTATTTTAATATTTATTTGCAGGCAGGGCCCTCCTCGTCCCGTCCCACCCCCATTTACATGCGATCAATATGTGCGTGAGACGACCCAGAAACATCATAAAGAAGTCCCTGAAACGTCTCTAAAATGGCAGAACAGGGGCAGACTGGGGTGTTTGCAGGCTTTTTCAATGGGTTTCAATTCTACACGTTTTCACTTATGCGCATGGTACCTCAGAATGTAACCCCTGTGTAAATATGGGGGGGGGCTGCCTGTATTTATTTGCAGGGCTTGTCCCACACTCTTCAGCCAAAAAGGCTCCCAGAGCCGCTTAACTTCTTTTTCCAAAAAAATAAAATAAAAACAACAACACCCACGACACACAAGGGGAAAGGGATGGGGAGGGAAGAGGAAAAAGCAAAACTCAGGTGCCCATTTCTAACCTATTGCTCCTATAATGACCAGCTGGCCCAGTTCAGGGGCAGGAACCTCCAGAAAAGTGTGAAATGGGCCGCCTACGTCCTTTTTCTCCTTCTGATGTAGCCGGATGGAATGGCTTCCTCCGGGTGACAACCGAGGGGGGGATGATGTCTGACTGACATCCGTCAGAGGCAGGCCTGGGTGTGGCAACCCCCAGGTGACTCTTGGCTTTGCTCCCTTGCAGCCACCCACCCACCAGGGACTTCTGCGTCCAAGCACCCCTCTCTGGCCAACTAGAGGGTGCAGAGGCAGGTCCAGCCAAGGTGGGTGGCCTAGGCGGAAGGGTGGCCCGAGACCTGCGACGCCCTTCTCACCTGTACAGGTGATTGATGAGCGCTTTCACCGTGGCTCTGTTGACCGCAGGGAGGCTGCTGAGGAGCTTCCGATAGCGGCCGACCTTCTCCTTGTCGTCTTCGATGGCTGGAAGGGCGAGAGAAAAGCAAATAAGAAATCAAGATAGCAAACTTGTAATAAAAGAATGGAAATGGCTTATTGAATATTTACAGGTAAATTGTAAACAGGTAAGAGCATTGGTGGGATTCTTGTAATAACCTGCAGTTTTATAAGAGTATACAGTGGACCCTCTGGATACGAACTTAATTCGTTCTGGGGGTCTGTTCGCACCCCACAAATTATGTAAATAGAGGTGCGCTTCTGCGCATGTGGGCGCGGCAAAACCGGGAAGTATACACTTCCGGTTTGCCATGGCCGTAACCCGAAGATTCCATATCCAGAGGGATACGTAATTAGAGGTACAACTGTATATTTAAAGTAGATGAATGAAGGAGCAAATTAAGTTAATTTGGATATGCAGAAGATATTAAAAATAAATTGAAGGAACAGCAGAAAGGGGGGGAGGAAGTCAAGTTTTGGAATGTGAAAATGATTGTAAAATTATTGAAATGTAAAAACCTGAAAAGCATAAATAACATTTAAAAGAGAGAGAGATGCAAAGCCATGAACAGGATTCTGGCAGGGACAGAGATGTTACGGCGAGCATCCCCAACATTGTGCTGGAAGGGAGCAGTGGTGTTTTGGGATGGAAAATCTCTGCGAAGGAACATCCTTCAAGACCAGCTCCGTTCAGGCAGGGCAGGAAAACCTGGAGCCAGGGGACTTCCGGGTTGGCGCCTCCGGCAATGGCGGAGCTCCTCCGATCGGGAGGAACTTGCTCCGTGAAAAACAGGGTCTGACCTGCCACGGCGAAGGTGGAGACCCATTGAAATCACAAGCGGGCACCTTTTGCGCCTCCCCTACTCACGGGGAAACCCTGTTTTGGGGATCCGGAGCGACGTGGGGTGAGTGGCGCGGTGCTTTGAATCGACTGCTTTTGTCACAGAGTGAAGCCACATTGCTGTTGCCGGAGAGCGCTGACTTTTTCCTGTGGACAATTGGATTTTAAACAACTACTCGTGAGTAAATCGGAAAATTGGATTTTTAAATACTTTAATTTGGCACTGAAGCGGGAGGTCCTAAACAGGAAGTCCGCCTTCCGTTTTTGTAAATAGACTGAAGCAAAGACGTTACAAGTTAAAGTCTTTGAAAGCTTTTGGCAAAGGATTAAATTTCCATCGGTTTAAAATACAAAACCCTCCTTGGAAGCAGGAGAAGAGGGGGAAATTTTGGATCTAAGTGAGCCTGCAGGAGAGAGTGAAAAATCAAATTATCACTGCTCTGAACCTGGGAACGGGCTGCCAGATGACGTTTGGAGAGAGTGCATTTGACAGAACGGATTTGACAGCTAGCTAAATAAGAGTAAGATACTGTTTCCATTGTCCTCCTCTGCGTTTAAAAGAGGAAAAGTAACTGAAAATTTATCTTTAATGTTTGAGTTGTGCCTGAAAGAACTGATACAAGTGGAGACTGTTTCCCTCTAGAGGGAGCTTTTGAAACTGTTACAGGAGTGTAACTGGGGGATTTCCAGCTGCAGATAAGGATTCTGAGAACCAGAGAGTGACCTTGGACCATTTAAAAATGTTGACAGGAGAGGCCATTGTGACTGTTTTATGTAAGATAAGCTGTTCGCTGGGACAGCTTCACAAGAAGATGGATGACATGACTTTTAAAGTTGATAATTTGGAACAGAAAGTGACTAATTTGAGTCAAAAAGCGAACACCAACACAGAAATAATACAGGACTTGGTACAGGAATCCATTTTGGCAGGACAAATGGTGGAGGAGAAGGAGGAGAAGGAGAATGCTGTTGTTGTTGAACATAAAGTTGAACATAAAGTAGTACAAGTGAGATCCGTGGCTTTACAGAAGCAAATTGAGGACTATAAGTTGAGGCCTTTTATGATTGAATCTAGGAAAAGTCAGACTCTGAGGAATGGACCCCGGCTTGGAATAAAGAAGGAAAGTTGGAAAGATCCCTCTATGCAGGGATTAACTGACTTTTGGGACATGGACTCGGGCCTGGAGGAGATTGAAGTTTGGGGGCCTTTGGACCTGGAGGAATCTTGAAATATGCCCTGAAATACTTTATGGACTGTAGCTTTAACTATGGAAATTTGGCTGATCTGTTCAGAAGGAAGAAAAGGATTGACAGGTTGGAGCTTCCCCGAGATTTGCTCTTTAGCATTAAAGAAAATGAAGAAGACCTGCAGAAGGGACTTGGAAAAGAGTTAAGAGCCTCGGACATAAGATCACCAGGTTGATGGACTTTATGGAGTTGACGGAAAGGACTGGCAGAATCGAAACCAGGGAGAGGAGATGGTGGAAGAAGATTGGAAAATTTAAAGTTTATATATAGACTTATGGTAAAACTAATGAGTGATAGAAAAATGGTGGAATGATTTTTATGGGCTTAGCAGAAATGTTATAAGGAGTTAAGCATATATAAGTATTTTAGTTTTAATGGAAAATAAGGTTAAAAAATACGTTATTTACAATATCACAGAAAATGGAGAAAGATGGAAAGGATTTGCTGAAACAATTAATAGAAGTGGAACACAAAAAGGGAGGTGAGAGGAGGTCGAGGAAACAAGGGAATGAAAGATCGAGTACGGAAAAGAGATGATGTTTGTTTTTAAATTGTTTTTGTTTTGTTTCATTTAGGGTTAAGGTTAGGGAGTGGGGTTTGTTTAGCTTAGTTTAATGTGTTTAGTTTTGAGTTTAGGTTGTGTTTTGCATTGTTTATATATTGTATTGTATTGTTTTTTTCTTTTTGCTTTCCTCCTTTGTCTTTTTTTCTGGTTTTTTTTTCTTTTTTCTCTTTTTGTAATCTATAAAAGTAATAAATATTATTTTAAACAGGAAAACCTGGAGCCAGGAACAGCTCCAGATGCAGAAGGCACCTAGCCAGAGCCAAGGTCCAGCCAGCTCCCTTTTCTGATATCCCGCCCAAGCCTGAATTGATGAACAGCAACATCCTCCATAGGAAACTGTGCCCAATAGCCATGAGGAGTGTGGGAGCAGCCGGGATAAAGGATGCAGCTACATATCACAGAAGCACAGAATTGTAGAGTTGGAAGGGACCCCGGGGGGTCATTTAGTTCAACCCCCTGCAACGGATGAATCTTTTGCCCAACGTGAGACTCGAACTCATGATCCTGCAGTTAAGAGTCTCATGCTCTACCAACTGAGCTGCAAGACTGCTGTCTCTCCCAGGTCTTGAAAGATTGCCTGATTCTGCATTCCAGGCAAGACAGATCAACTGACCTTAGCCTATAGCATATAGCTGGATTTCATAATCATAGAATGGTAGACTATATGGGTCATTCTCTTGATCTAGACAGCATCTTAAAAAGCAGAGACATCACCTTGCCAACAAAGGTCCATATAGTTAAACCTATGGTTTTCCCAGTAGTGATGCATGTGAGAGCTGGACCATAAAGAAGGCTGATCGCCGAAGAATGGATGCTTTTGAATTCTGGTGCTGGAGGAGACTCTTGAGAGTCCCATGGACAGCAAGAAGATCAAACCGATCCATGCGGAAGGAAATCAGCCCTGAGTGCTCACTGGAAGGACAGATCGTGAAGCTGAGGCTCCAAGACTTTGGCCACCTCATGAGAAGAGAAGACTCCCTGGAAAAGACCCTGATGTTGGGAAAGATGGCGGGCACAAGGAGAAGGGGAAGACAGAGGACGAGATGGTGGGACAGTGTTCTCGAAGCTACCAGCATGAGTTTGGTCAAGCTACGGGAGGCAGTGGAAGACAGGAGTGCCTGGCATGCTCTGGTCCATGGGGTCACGGAGAGGCGGACACGACTAAACGACTAAACAACAACAACAACAAAAGCAAGGCTCTTCTTGTGTGTGTGGTTTATAGAAATAAAACATAAAAGCCAGACAATAAAAACCATTAACCAGGGCAAAAGGGTTAAAAACAGACTCTGAGTTTTGGCCAGAATGTCCCCGACAGCCTAACCTGAGTTTCAGGTGTCCCACAGCTGAGAAGGCAAAGTAGTATATAATTAATTTTCAAATGTACATTTTCAGTCCTGTTGCAATAAAACAACAACCAGCAGGGGGCGCAAAAGTGATCTGTCTGTGCCGTATTATTCCCATGAGAAGTCAGAGATCCCAGGATTTAAGAAAGCAGGAGGGGCGTTTTCTCACAGCTAAAAAGCACCCTGAGCTGTTTCCAAGAGAAATAATAGGTGTGCGTTTCTTTAAGGAGGGACCGGCTGCTCTGAGATGCAGCATGCGCTTTGAGCATTAAAAACTTTACCAACAGAGTCTAGGGGCATCAAGAACACCATTTCCCAGGCAACAAGGGTCTACGTTGGAGGAACTGGTTGCCCTGAAATTGCCTGGCTTACCTCTGCCCTTTGCAAGGGTAAGACGGCCTCGGTCCAGGATACCTGAAGGAGCGTCTCCACCCCCATCGTTCTGCCCGGACACTGAGGTCCAGCTCCGAGGGCCTTCTGGCGGTTCCCTCACTGCGAGAAGCCAAGTTACAGGGAACCAGGCAGAGGGCCTTCTCGGTGGTGGCACCCACCCTGTGGAATGCCCTCCCGTCAGATGTCAAAGAGAACAACAGCTACCAGACTTTTAGAAGACATCTGAAGGCAGCCCTGTTTAGGGAAGCTTTTAATGTTTGATGCATTACTGTATTTTAATATTTTGTTGGAAGCCGTTCAGAGTCTCTAGGGAAACCCAGCCAGATGGGCTGGGTATAAATGATAAATTATCATTATTATGATTATTATTATATTATAAGATGGGGGGGGACTGACAAGAAAGGGCTGGTGAAGTCATCCAACATTATTTGAAAAGCTGTCTAAGGAGGCCCAAAAACCTCTGAGCTCAGTAAGAACATAAGAAGATGCTTCTGGATCTGGCAAGTGACCCACACAGTCCAGAATCCTGTTCTCACAGGGGCTGAGCAGAGATCCCATAGGGAAACCCACAAGCAGGATTCGAACACAAGGCCCCCTTCCTGTGACTCCCAGCAACTGGGATTCAGGAGCATTGCTGGCTCTGGACGGCGGAAGGGAAACATAGCCATTGTGGCTAGTAGCCAGCAATAGAATGGTACCGCTGCAAGGGACCCTCAGCGGTCATCTAGTCCAATCCCATGCGATGCAAGTGTGCCTTACGGGGCTCAAACCTGCCACCTTGGCGTTATCAGCACCGCGCTCTAACCAACCGAGCCATCTCCCTCCGTGGATTTGCCCAGTCCTCTCTAAAAGCTGCCCAAGTTCATTATAGGTAAGGATATTAATAGACAAGATGTTAAATTGTTTTTATACGCAACAACAGCGGCAAGAGTATTGTTAGCCCAGAAATGGAAGCAAGAAGAAATTCTGACAAAAGAAGAATGGCAGATAAAATTAATGGACTACGCAGAATTGAACAAAATGACAGGAAGGATTCGAAACCTGCGGGACCAGAGATTCACAGAAGATTGGAAGAAATATACGAACTATTTGAAGAGCAAATGCAATCAACAAATTAGTAGGACTACAAGAAATATACGAAATATTGCAAAGTAGAAAAAGAATGGAGATATTAGTTATGGAGATTTAAATGTAATAGTGAAAGTAAGAAATGTATATTAAGTGAATAGATTGGAAAATTTTCAGTGTGATTGATGGAAGTAAAAAAAAACTGTATAAGATGTTAAAGTGTGTTTAAGTATGGTTGAAAATGGTATATTAAAAATCTAATAAAAATGTATATATATAAAAAATAAAAGCTGCCCAAGTTGGTGGCAGTCACTGTCTCCTGTGGCAGGAGGTTCCGCAGTTTAACAATGGAGCGGCGCTTCTGTTGCTGCCGTGTTGATGTCAACAAGGTTCAAGGGGGAGGCGCCTTCCTCGGAGGTCCGCCGGCCAAGGCTGAATCTGGCAGAGAAGGCCGTCGTGCACCAACCTTTACCTGTTGCCTTCAGCCAGGCCGGGGAGGAATCTTTGGTGAAGAGCCCGTCTTCCACGTCCCGGAAGAATCTCTTGAGGGTGTTGGCCACGTCGTCCACCTGGTGTTCCCCTTCCTTGAGCCGGACCCTGCGGGCGTCCTTGCGGAGCATTTCCAAGAGGCCCGTCGTCTTGGAGTTCTGTCCGCTCTTCCGATAGATTCCTTCCGAGGTCAGCCCTCGAGGAATAATAATAATAATAATAATAATAATAATAATAATAATTTATATCCCACCCTCCCCAGCCAAAGCCGGGACCAGAGTCGGTCACGCCCATTAATTTTTTTCGGCGGGTCCACTCAACTAACGCTCAACCCTTATCACTTAAACTGCCATCCCGTCTTGCGAGATTTCGGCAGGTTATCAGCAGCCCACTCCCATGCACTTTCGGAAAGGCTGCAGGAACCATGAGGTCTAGCACCTTGCTCAAAAAGGCAGGGCCGGATTGAGGTTTGATGAGGCCCTAAGCTCCTGAAGGTAATGGGGCCCTTTCTATGTCCAGCTGTCCTTTGCCAACAACAAATGGTCACTGCTTTTTGTGTTGAATATATGCTAGATGGTAATTTAAGGACCTTATAGGTATCTAAAGCCATTTGCACATAACAAAATATGTATGTTATCAAAGTGACTGTTACAGCCAGTGCATGAAGAATGTAGGCACCCTATATATAGAAAGGAACAAACCAGTGATATTTTAGGGAGCAGGCTAGCAGGCGGGGCCCATGACTTACATCCTAGGAGCCTACACAACACAAAACACTGTTGCTGTATGTAGGTTTTATTTTATGTGTTTTTTATCTTCTATTTTGGAAATGTACATCCAGTTTGTTTTTTCTCTAATTTTTTTTGGGGGGGGGCAAGAGAGTGGGGCCCTAAGCTATAGCTTGTTTAGCATATACGTAAATCCGGCACGAGTCAAACCCCATAGTTGTTTAGCCGGGCTCAGAGTGGCTAACGTCAGTAAAATAATACAGCATTCTAAAACCAATTCATTATAAAATCAGTTCAAATCAAATTAATGGCAACCATTGGGCTAGAGTTCTATGAGGATTACCGAAGGAGGGGGCGGGGTTGTGGAGCCCATCTCGCTTTCAGGCCGAGGGAGCCGGCGTTTGTCCACAGACAGCTTTCCGGGTCATGTGGCCAGCAAGGAGCTCACGGTGGAACCCGCAGTTCTCTCCCCAACACACTCCAATTTGACCCTCAAAGGCTGAGAGAGAGTGACTGGCCCAAGGTCACCTAGAAGGATTCATGACTGTTTCGTCTGCACACAAACCCAACGTACCGCACTGCGTGATATAATCGATGCATCGGTCCACAATGATGGGGACGTCTGTGTCTGTGAGCTGTTGTTCAGACAAGGTGTCTCCCGAGCTTCCAGCCGCCTTTTGGATGGCGTTGACCCAACCCATGAAGTCCAGTTTCCTCTCGCCTTGGATGTAGAGCGTCCTGGGGGAGACAAAAACCGGGTGTGAAAGACACGGGAATGGGCAGAGACATTATTATTATTATTATTATTATTATTATTGATACAGCAAGAAAAGACAAAAAGAGAAAACACAGATACAGTCATACCTCGGGTTGAAGTAGCTTCGGGATGAATATTTTTGGGTTGCGCTCCGCTGCGACCCAGAAGTAACATAGCACATTACTTCCGGGTTTCGCCGCTTGCGCATGCGCTCAAAATTGCATCACGCGCATGCACGGAAGCAGCAAATCGCAACCCGCACATGTGCAGACGCGGGTTGCGTTCACTTCAGGATGTGAACGGGGCTCTGGAACAGATCCCGTTCGCATCCAGAGGTACCACTGTACAGAGTTATACACAGGAATAACAACAAACACAAAATTTTCTTAACAAACAATAAAACATAAGTTGGTCTTAACACTATAGACCGGACCTCCCGTCTATTCCTTATTTCAATTTCATATTACTGTCAGCTTTTGGATCCATTCATGTACAGAGGGTCCATTCATGTACATTTCAATACTCTTCCATTTTGCTGCGATAAGAACTCTTGCAGCCACTGTGGCGTATAAAAATATTCCCTTCATTTTTAAGGGGGCGCGAGAGGCACGATCCCACCGTGTCCCGAATTCTAGCACTGCCCAGGGCGCTGCTGAAATTTGACAGCCCAAACTCTGCCACTGGGCTGGAGCATGTGATCTCTGCAGGTCTTTTATTCGTTTCTGTTTTATTTCTTTAATACCTGGCATAATCTGCTAGGCTGCAAAGGAATCATCAGCTGTTTGGGAGTACATTGGAAGTCGCCTGGATTGGCAGGGCTGGATGCAAAACATGGCTTAGGACTCTCGTACCTACGGGACCGCCTCTCCTGGTATGCCCAGTGGAGGACCTTAAGGTCCATAAATAGCAACACCCTAGAGGTCCTGGGCCCTAAGGAAGTTAGATTAGCCTCAACCAGAGCCAGGGCCTTTTCAACACTGGCCCCAACTTGGTGGAACGCTCTGTCTCATGAGACCAGGGCCCTGCGGGATCTGATTTCTTTCTGCAGGGCCTGTACGACAGAGTTCTTCCGCCTGGCCTTTGACTTGGAATCAACTTGATCCCCTCCCCCTCTTTCCTTTCTCCTTCTGTGATAGAACTCCTATTTGGGGACTTCCCTGGCTTTTTAGTTGGCCTTGGTGAAGACTTGACGTTTTCATCCCCAAAAAAGTTTTTTGATTTGAGTTTCCATTGAAATGAGGCTGCATTTTAATGTTTTAATGTTGTATTTTAATCGTGTTTATAAGTTGTATTTCAATCAATTTGTTTTTATATTGGTTTTTATATCGGTTGTTAGCCGCCCTGAGCCCAGTCTTGGCTGGGGAGGGTGGGTATAAATAAAATTTATTATTATTATTATTACAACGAATGTGTAAAAGGAAATAACGTAGGGAGTGGAGGAATACAGTGGTGCCCCGCAAGAAGAATGCCTCGCAAGGCAAAAAACCCGCTAGACGAAAGGGTTTTCCGTTTTTCGATGCGCTTCGCAAGACAAATTTCCCTATGGGCTTGCTTTGCAAAACGAAAAAGTCTTGCGAGTCTTGCGATTTTTTTTGCTTTCCCCCCCTTTTCCTAAGCCGCTAAGCCGCTAATAGCCTTTTAGCCGCTAAGCTGCTAAGCCTTTAATAGCCGCTAAACCGCTAATAGCGCTAATCCGCTAATCCGCTAATAGGGTTGCTTCGCAAGACGAAAAAACCGCTAGACGAAGAGACTCACGGAACGGATTATTTTTGTCTTGCGAGGCACCACTGTAGAAGATCTGGTAATATAAGGCTTGCTTTTCAAGGTTCCGTCCCATCTCTTCCCCCCCGCCCAAAACCCCATTTACCTTCTCCTTTCCACCAGCACGAGAACTTCATTGTCTCCCTGGATGGCTGTAAGGCAAAAACCGGCATTAATGTTTAGGGATGCAACCTGCTGTTGGTTTGAGTGTGTCAGAGACTGGCAAGAAGACTGCCACATGGGCATCGGGAGAAGTGGGAAAGGAGACTGGCCTGGAAGATGTGGGGCTCAGTGTTGTGGAGGAACCTGTGACAGCCAGGAGAAGAGGGTCAGAGGCAGGCGATGCTACAGGGCTGCAGAGCAAAGAGCAGGTGCAAGAGGAAGAGAGAGGTCAGGCTGGTGGAGAGTCAAGAGTCCATTGTACTGTGGAGAGTGTATTAACTTATGGTCTGTGTGTGTGGTTTGGGAGCTGCACGGCCAGGGAGAAAACAATGCTGTCCAGGGTTGTAAAGACTGCGGAGAGAATAATTGGGTGCACTCTTCCCACCTTGGATCAAATCTATGCTTCCAGGTGTCATAAGAAAGCTGCAGAGATAGCGCAGGATAGTGCGCACCCCGGAAAAGATCTCTTTCAGCTTCTGCCTTCTGGAAGAAGGTACAGGGTTATAAAGACTAGGACTAGCCGCCTGAGAAACATACCCAAATGCGATTTTGGTTTTAAACGCAGTGTAAGGAGTCTCTGTGGGAGTATATTGTATTTAATTATGGGGTATCAGAGTTTTTAGGGGCTTAACCAGGCTGGGATAGAATGCTTGTTGGTTTCTGAATGTCTGATGTAGATTTTTTCAATTTCGTTGTTCTGTATGGGACAATGACAATAAAGATTATCGTATCGTAAAAGAGCGGCCGCATCTCTTCCTCCTGCTGCTCTGCTGTCTCCCAGGACCAGGAGAGGATGGAAGCAAGAGGAGCAGGAGCAGGTAACATACAAACCCATCCTTCACCTGTTTGCCCG